TGCTGGAGGGGGGCCAGCCCCAGCCAGGAAGGGGAGCGGAGTGTGGGGCTTTTATTACCCCGAGTGACCTCATTTCCCAATATTCCCCTTTTCTCACCGTTAATTGCAGCAGGGCCCATCTTCTCAGCCAAATGGGCACAGCTTCAACCTTCAGGCTGGCTTTCCGATTTCCTTTAATGAGATGAAATCCTTAAGCCATGAGCTGCCGCAGCTGGTCCCTGCCCCGGGGTGTTCCCGGTTCCTGCCTCTGGGGGGTTCCTGGTCCTGCTGGGAAGGTGCATTCGGCCTCTCTGCCTTGTGAAAGCTCGGTGCATGTTGCACTCTCCCTACAGATCATCTGCCAGCACTGTTCCCTGGCATGCAAGGGAGTGGATTTCACTCTGCCTGGCTGTCCTGCATCCCACAACCTGTGCCTTATTGAGTGCCGAGTCCTGGAATTATCCTGTGGCACCAAGGATATGCAGGACCAACACTGGTCCGCTGCCGACATCCACCAGCAGTCTGCCATCCCTCTGTCTCCTGGAGGGTTTCCCATGTTGGAAGGCACTGAGGGTGACCCTGAAGAAGGAGGGAGCACAGAGCCTTCTACCCAGTTCAGGACTGGCCAGCCTGACCTGCCCTGTCCCCAAAACGCCACATTTCTGGCCTATCCAGTAACAATGTTCCATGTCTCTTCCAGGGAAAATATGAAGAAAGATTCCTGAAAGATGAAACCATATCCCAGCAGATCAACTCGGTTGAGTCCCTCCCGGAGCTGCACCTCTCTCTGGAGGACAAGAAGCCTGAGCAGCTCTTGCAAAGGAAGCTGAGGGTGAGGAGCCGGCCTCCTTCCAAGCCCACCATTGTCCGAGGGGTCACCTACTACAAAGCCCAGTCCACCGAATCGGAGAATGACATCGAGGAGCAACGTGAGTTGGGTGTGCAGCCACATTCGGTGGGATGGCTGGCTGCATCCTGTGGAAAAAACGATGTTCACCCCTGAGTCCTGCCTCATCCCCTGGGAATGTGCGGGCAAAGCATGTGGGAGCAGCAGGGAGAGGAGGCAGGGGGAGGTGGGACGACTGGTACTTCACTGCTGTGCAACCTTTGAGCCCTGTGTGTGGAGCAGTGCAGCATTGTTATTCCGTGGAAAATCCCTGGTAGCTAAAGAAGTAGGTCACTGCTTCAGTTTAAAACACCCAACCTCAACACCTTTCCAAAGGTTTCCGTGGTGGCTGGGGAGCCCCAGTGGTCCCCGTGCCCTGGGTGAGGCACCCACTTTGGCATCGCAGGTTAGGGGGGTGGGATCTGGCTGGGCATGCAGCTGGGTCTCCATCCTGCCCCATCTCCGGGAGCTGGCAGGACAGATTTGCTCTCAGTCACCTCCTGCTCTGCCCTGTCTGGGGTGGTGGATGTGGCTGTGGTGGGGTCTCACTGACCTCCTAACGTGAGCACTGTCAGCCTCTGTAGTTCACACAGCCCTTCTCTGACTGGGGAGGGAGAGGAAATGCGGCTTAGTGGGCTTAGTACAAGACAGACTGCAGAAGTGGGCAGGGGGCCGGCGTGGAGGGGCCAGGGCGAGGGGTCTGTGGGGACTGTGGGGCTGACACCTGTGTCTGTATTTGGCAGCGGACGAGCTGTTCAGCGGGGACAACACGGTGGACCTGCTGATCGAGGACCAGCTCCTGAGGCCCAACAGCAGGACGGGCCAGGGTGCGAGGAAGCCCTCCCCAGTGGGATGGCCACCCACCCCTGGCAGTGCTCCCACCACTCCGCCGGCTGCCGACACTGCTGCGACAGCCACGGTGTCCCCGTCCCCTGCCACACCCAGGGACCCCACACCAGACCCCAACGCTGTGAGCTGGCTGACCCCCACCCCAGAGACCGTGACTGCCCCAGCAGGGCTGGTGGAGGAGGGCACCCCACAGCTACTGGCAGCCTTGGCCACAGCCATGGAGAACCTGCCCCCAGCCACCACCGCTGGGGCCTGGAGCGACCTGGAGAGCAGCCCAGAAGCTTGGGGACAGGCGAGCACACCCCCAACCCCAGTCAGCCCCGCTACCCCCAAGGAGGGCCTGGAGGAGGAGGACATCAGGAACATCATTGGTGAGTGCCTGCAGGTCTTGCAGCAACCCAGCTGTGCAAATGAGGGCTCGCTTGTGCCCACAGCGAGTCTGGCTGGGCTTACTCGCTTATTAATTCTGGAACCTACTGTAGTTTCCCCCAGTTTTAGGGGCTGGGCTGGACAGGGCAAGAAAATGTCAAGATGGCAATGTCCATCCTTCCTGGACACGGACCCAAGATAGGTAGTAGCCTCAGCTGGGGCAGGGATGTGGCTGAGGCTGTGAGGAGATGCTTGCAGGATCTGCCCAGTGCTACTGGGTCTTGTGGTGCTGCAACTGGGCTGAGGTAGCAGGGGGTACCTGCTGGTCGGGTAAGGGGCTGGAGGGGGGTGATGTCCACCCCAACAGGAGCAGGGAGAGTGTGGCCACCCTGCCTCGGGCCTCACAAGCCCTTCTCTGCCCATGCAGGGCGCTGCAAGGACACACTATCCACCATCTCGGGCCCCACCACCCAGAACACCTATGGGCGCAATGAGGGAGCCTGGATGAAGGATCCTCTGGCCCGGGAGGAGCGGATCTATGTCACCAACTACTACTATGGGAACACATTGGTGGAGTTCAGGAACCTCGACAATTTCAAGCAAGGTGGGTTCTGCACCATTTCCAACGCCACACTGGCTGCTGCTCGGCTGATCCAAGTCACATCCTCCTTCCTGGGGATACTGGATCATGGGGGAGTGATCTGCCTGGGGACGCTCTGCTCCTGGGGCCAGTACCTGGGCTCAGAGCATGGGGCGGGTCAGGCTGCAGCTGGTGGCCGTGGAGGGAGCGCAGGCAGAGCTGGGAGGCAGAGGGTGCTGTGACGGCAGTGCCACCCACCCCAAAGCAGAGGGAGGGTTTTACCAGCAAGGTGTCCCTGCCTCTCTGCCCCGCAGGTCGCTGGAGCAACTCCTACAAGCTCCCCTACAGCTGGATTGGGACGGGGCACGTCGTCTACAACGGCTCCTTCTACTACAACCGGGCCTTCACGCGCAACATCATCAAGTACGACCTGAAGCAGCGGTACGTGGCCGCCTGGGCCATGCTGCACGACGTGGCCTACGAGGAGTCCACCCCGTGGCGGTGGCGAGGCCACTCGGACGTGGACTTCGCTGTGGATGAGAACGGGCTGTGGGTCATCTACCCGGCCATCAGCTACGAGGGCTTCAACCAGGAGGTGATCGTGCTGAGCAAGCTGAACGCAGCCGACCTCAGCACCCAGAAGGAGACCACGTGGCGGACGGGGCTGCGCAAGAACTTCTACGGGAACTGCTTTGTCATCTGTGGGGTCCTATACGCGGTCGACAGCTACAACAAGAGGAATGCCAACATCTCCTACGCCTTCGACACGCACACCAACACGCAGATCATCCCCAGGCTGCTCTTTGAGAACGAGTACGCCTACACCACGCAGATAGACTATAACCCCAAGGACCGCCTGCTCTACGCCTGGGACAATGGCCACCAAGTCACCTACCATGTCATCTTTGCCTACTGAGACCCCCCCCACCACAGTGGGGCACTGCAAGCCAGGGGCCACCAGCACCTTTTATTATTATTTTTATTGTTATTATTATTTTGTACAAATCGAAGAGTAAATGATGGGTTTTGTTTCAAGCTGGTTTTTTATGGTGGATTGTAGATCGATCCCCAGGCCAGAACCACCCCCTTCGTCTTTGCTGTACCCTTGCTTCTGATTTTCCTTCCCAAGGGAAGGAGGTTCTCCTTCGGAAGGGCAGATGGGCTCTCCTGCCCAGGGAAAAGGAGGTGGCCATGGTCCTCCTGACGATGTTTTTAGCTAAAGATGATCAGCAAGACACCCTGAACCAGTACAAAGCTGGCCTCTCTGCTGCGGGCACCAGGTCCCAGCGGGATGCTGATGTCTGCCTGCCCTGGTGGAGCACCTGTGTGTCCCATGAGAATGTCCCGTCTCTCAGGACCATCTTCCCAGCTTCCCTTTGGAGATCCTGCTGTACAATGGGGCTGTGAGCGCAGCTCCAGCAGCCCCTGGTGCTGGCACTTATGCCAAGGACTGTCCCCTCCAGCTTGGGCTCTGCCCTTCGCAAACTCCTCGGGGGAGGGTTCGGGTGCACCTTGAGCCCTGATTCACACCTGGAGCGAGCTGGTGGCAGGAGGGGGATGCTGTAAATACGTGTAGATGGCTTTTGTTTGTTCATTTTGTAACCTAAGTAGTCCCCCTTGGCATTTGCTGGGTGAAGGCTCTGCTCAGCTGGGCGCTGGGCTGTCTGGGCAGGGGGGCTGTGGGGCTGGGGGAGCCCCGGGGGCTGGAGAGCCCTTGCCCTGCTGCTCCATCTCCTACTTGCCTCTTGCTGCCATGCTCGCCCTGGTCCTGGCTGCTGACCATCAGGATCCCCTCACAGAGGCAAAGCCCTTGCCCTCCTGCCCACCAGCATCTTGTATTTACCTGCTGTCAGTAATAAAGGATCCAGTACCTTTGCAACTGTTCGGGGCTTTCTTTGGCTCTGCACGTTTGGGTGCATGGAAATACATGGGGGTATTTTGGCTTGGTTTTGGTTGGTTTGGGGAGACCCAGCTTAAAAACCAAAGGGGGAGAGACCCTAGGGGGCTCTAGGCCACTTGGGATCGACGCCAGGGCAAGGTGACATGGTCATGTCCAGCCCTGAGAAGAGCTTGTCTCTGTGATGCCACCTGCACTGGGGTCACTTGGGCTGCAGTGCGACCCTTGTGACCTTCTCTTTGCCAGGCTCCACTGGCAAAGTGGAGCAGGGTGCCCTCCCCAGGAGCAGGAGGGGGGTCTGGGTGTGCATGTACCATGGGCAGTGCCAGTGCTGTGCTGAGCAGAGTCACGCTGCAGCCCAAGAGACAGCAGACACAGCACAGGCCTTCTAGTCATCTGCCTAAGGAAAACAGTATTAATAAGCACAATAACAATGAATATTAATAATAAATAAAAGAAGGATTTTATTGCCTTCAGTGCCAGGGACACAGAGAACAGAACTACACAGGATGAGAGATGCTGTCCACCACTGGAGCCCATGGTGCTGACTGAGGATGCAGTGCTGTAGCAGTCCTGAGCCCCAGCCTCCATCAGCAGCCCTTCCCAATGTGCTGGGCGGTGCCAACCCAGTAAATGCCCCCACAGCAGTCAGCCATCCCTTCCTGGGACTGCAGGGGAGCCGTGTGCCTCTGGCTGGGGCACCGCCGGGGTTTTTATTTTTGAATATTGTGTGAGCTGGCCCACAGTCAGGTGGGGCCAGGGCCAGGAAAACGAACTGGTGCAAGGAGTGCAGCCAAACCCCTCGCCGAGCCCGGCTGCTTCCCAGCCGCGCGAGCGCCGAGAGGATGGGGGGCCTGCGCAGCTTGCGCCGAGTACGTGGCAAAGGGCAAAGTTTTTCCATGGTGTTGCAAGGCTCATACTTCACAGGGGTGTATTGCTCCTCATCCTCCTCCTCACTGCCCCTGGAGCTGTTTGTCTTGCTGCTGGATCAGCTTTTATTTCCTAACAGCCACACACACACACAAATAATAATAATATTCATAGTTAGAAACCCCACACGAGCCAGTCAGTCTTCTGTGCGAACTGTAAAGGGGAAGAAAAATACTGTAACATGCTGAAGTCATTACACAAGGTCGATGCTCTGCTGGTTTCTCATCCCGGCTGAGCACCTCAGTACCCAGCCCCTCGGCCCAGCTCCGGCCTGGGGCTCGGCTGACAAACACAGGACAGACTGAACAGAGCCCACACTGGTTTAGGAACAGCAGCAGTCGGCTGCAGCTCCATGTTTGGGGCAAACACCACAATCCCCCACTGCCTGACGGGTGGTTGTCAGTGCTGGCAAGGCAGAGAGGGGTGTGTGGGGCTGAGTGTGTGTTATGTGTGTGTGGTTTCAGGAGGAAAGTGCTGTGAGTGTCTGCTGTGACTGTGTCCCTCTGAATTGAGGCAGCCCTTCTGCCCCAGTGGGGCCAGTGCTGCTCCACAGGCTGTTGTTAGCAGTGAAAAGTATTAAATAGCACACACAAAAAACAACCCAAACAAAAAACAGGAAAAAGAAACCAAACCCAAGAAACCGAAAAGCTTTACAAATGCATCTGCTGCATTAAATCACCTCCCTTGGGCCAAGCCCCAGCCTTCTGCCAAGCAGCCACGTGGGCTGGGGAAGAGACAGCAGCAGTGTGCAGGAGAGCACACGTAGGTGAGGAGGTGTGTGGAGGGGTGTGCACTGCTGTGTCAGTGTGGGCTGGTCTGCTTGTGGTGGCAGGGGCTGGCCTGCCCCACGGCACCACTGCTCCCCTGGGAAGCATCCCAGGGCTCCCCAGCAAGGGAGGCTGCACAGGCAGGAATTTGGGCAGATGTGGGGGTTGATGCGGAGTGGGGCTGTCTGGTCAGGCCCAGCATGGGGTACAGGGCTGCAGAAATCCCTGCAGCTCTGGCTGGGAACTGGACACTGCTTCCTGCTGCTGCCCATCACACACTGCAGGGAGCGCAGCCTGATCTCAAGCATGGGTGTCTGCTGCGATGTCTCTGGGCAGGACACCAGGGTTCAGCACCCCACCTCAGGAGGCAGCCTAACAGGGACAAAAGTTAAAAACAACCCAAGGTTTTGGACAATGCATAAGCAGCAGGGATGGCCCGTGTCCCCCCATGGCGCCGACCCCAGGACTGCAGCGGTGTCTCACCCACACCTCTGGCACCTGGCATTGCTGCACGGGGCCCCCAGGGCTGAGCTGCATAATCCCTGGACAGGATGTGGAGGTTGGGCAGGGTCAGGCACAGGAATGGGCTCAGGGGGACTGCCCCTGCTGTGCTGATGTGCCAGGAGCCCCAGGGCCCTGCCAGGGAAGGGGCTCAGTCTGGCGGCAGGACCTGCTGCATGTCGGATGCACCGGCCGTGCGCTAAACCAGGGGCTACTGCATGGATTTGACAATGGCCCTCAGGGCATGGGGCATCTCTGGGACGGAGGGGGACGAGCTGTAGAAGGTGTCGGTGTGATTTCTGCGCTGCTCTCGGAGGTACGGAGGGACAGAAGAACTTTTGATGTGGAGGATCCTGGTGTCCATCACTTCACAGTCAATCTGCATCATCACCTCATAGTCCTGCCCATTGATCACATTCTCTGCAAAAGTAAGGATAAAAATAAGGTTAGAGTCAGCCCTGCAAGCTAGCGACCCAACAGCGCCAGAAGCAGAGCTTTCTGGATCGTTTTTTTTGTCTGGAGCAGGAGCTGGGGTAGGGGGGAACTCCTTTCCTTTATACAGCTCCACACATGGAGCTCCATCTCGCACAGCGTGGCCACAGCCTGCTTATGACACCTCAAAGGCCCAGGCCACACTTAGCATGTGCAGCCACACTTAGAAACTAATATGTCTTTTATTTCCCCCTCCTTCATCTGCACATAATTACCGATGGAGTTTGCGCTGTACAACATTTATTACAGAGCTGTTGTTCTTGAGCCACTAGAGTGTGGGGGTGATGGAAGATAAGGTTTATTTAAGAAAGCTGAATGTTTCACTTTGTGTAACCCTCTTGACACTGAGGATCTAGAGGAATTTCTTCACCAGATTATTAATAAAAAAAGCTAAAATGTGATCTCTCAAAAGAATTAACTGTGCCTTGTTACAGTCCTGACCTGGCTGTTGTTCTTGGGTGATGTGGTGACACTGGGCAAGGCCACTACCCTGAGAGACCTCTGGACACAGGGACACCCAGACCAGCACAAGGAACCCCGGCTGCATCACCCCAGTGTGGCCCCAGGCCCAGCACATCTGCTGCTGCAGAAGCTCCTGGGTTACAGGCACAGGCTGTGCACATGGCCAGCATCTGCTGCCTGGATTTAAAGGTGGGAGACTACTCCCTGCATAGACAGTGTGCCCAGGAATGCAAGTTCGGCTTTCCAGGCACGACTAATCCTTGCCTTTCAGAGTCAGAAGACTGCCATTGGCAGGGTTTTCCTCCTGTGCTGAGGAGGATGGAAGATCACCTAATGGAAAGCGTATGGATTGGAGGAATGCAACATACATTACTAATTTTTACTGTTTTCCTGGATTAACTCTGACTCTGGATGACAGCTGACAACCACGGCCGGACCCTCTTGTACCCCACGCCACCTGCAGAAGCCATTAGATCAAGTATGTCTGCTATAGTAATGAAAAGCAGGAGCAAAACCCTTCTAAGGGGGCTGAGAGCCTGCAAGGGAAATCAAAGCTCCCACCTGCAAGAAATGAAATGGAAAATGCTCTGTATGTGCCACTGAGAGACCGAAGCAAGGAGCAGCTGTGCATGTCTCTGTGCCACTGACCCAAAAACCCCGACAAGCAAGCCCCTCGTCCCTCCTGTAGGCCGTGCTGCTGATAAAGCCCCGCTATGACTTCAGGTGCTGCGCCCCCCAGCTGGTTCCCCCACAGGAGGGCCATCCCTCCAGGTCACCCTTCCTCTCAGCACACCCAAAGGGATGTGCTCTTGGTTCCCACCCAACGGGCTCAGGACCAGAGAGCGGAGGGGGTTGGTGGTGCTGCTCAGGACAGGGGGCTGCACAGGGGAGCAGAGAGCCTGGAGACAGCAAATGGGAACAGAGGGGCTCCCCTGGAGACACAGTTCCTCAGCTCTCATGCCGCAGTCGACAGGACCCCAGGGACCCCAGCTATGTGAGTAACAGTGCTCCAAAGCCGCACGTGGGTGAGGTGGGATGGGACAGTGGCCAAGACCCGGAAAACCTCTCGGTAAGGTAGGAAGAGTTTCCTATGTCTGCCCACAGCAGCCAGCACAGCAGGCTATTTTTGGGTTCCTGGGCATTGCACAAGGCAGAGGAGAACAGCAACACCAAGAGCAGCCCATGCAAGAGAGGGAGCTGTGCTGTGTGGGTGGCAGTGGGGAGCATGGGAACCAGCTCGGCCCATTCTGGACAGCTGGGATCCTGCTTCTCCCAGCACTGACACAGGCTCCCCTGTGACTTACCTGTACCATGATTAAATAAGACATAGTCCTGCTACCCCGTGGCAAGAGGTGCTGTGTCTTCTTAGGCTACCCCAGATAGGAATAATCACGCTCATGATGAGCCTCTCTGGCCAGCAGGCATGGAGGGGACATACTCCCCCAGCTCAGACATGGGCAAAGTGCCTAAATCCTGCCCTGGGTCTGTGAATTAGCCCAGGAGTTACAGGCAGGTTTAAAGAAAGCATTTGATTCTTTCCCTTTTTGGGGTGAAGGTATTGTTGATGACGAGCTGCTGCAGCGAGCCTCTGCTTGATTTAATCTCACAGGGATGAGGGCAGTAGCAGGAATGGCTCAATTCCCACTACAGGCATTTCTAAGCAGCCTTTCTCATTACCATTAGCTCCAAAATGACTTAGAAGAGGAGATGGGATGTTCTGCAAAAACAGCAGTTACTTGATGCTGCTGCTGGGGGCCTGGACCAGCTGTGTTTCAAGGAGTGGTGTGGAAATCGTGCCAGCCTCCATGGGGGAGCCCTGCCCAGCCCACCCCAGTCCAGAGGCTGGAGAGGCTGATGCCCTGTGAGCATCCACAGTCTGTGATGGTCTCAGCAAAACAACAGGCAAACGTGACCTGAATGCAGCACAGTCTCATGTTTGGGAAGACTAGCTCACTGTCATTGCAAAAAAATGATTCCACATGGCTCTGTCCTGAGTTTGATACCATTAAACTGTTTCATGATCTGGATGAGGAATAGAGAACGTACTTAAAAGATTTCTGGAAGATGCTAAACTGGAGAGATTTCAACCATCTTGGAGTGGCTGGACTGGATGAGACTGCAGTTTTGATAAAAGAGAGAAGCTGTCCAAAATCTTCAGAATGCATTTCAATCATGGCCAGAGGGAAGTACAATGCTCAAGAGAACTGGAAAACATGAGTAAAAATGGGGCTGGGCAGAAGCCCTGCAGAAAAAGCTTGAGAACTGCAGAGCATCACTGTGCATAAGCCAACAGCATGACAGGACTAGAAACTATCAGCCCCACTCAAGAGAAACAGGCTTAACTTTGACCGAGTTTCTAATGATAACGAAATACAAACCCTGGATGAAAGTACCCTGGGAGACTGGAGGATCTCTGTGACTGGCAGTTTTTAAGGAAAGGCTGGATGACTGCCTGCCCATCAAGATACGGGGTACATAACCCTTGCTCTGCACTGATACTTGAAGTTACTCCTGATATCTCCGACCCTGCCTTTCTGGGAGTGCAGGTGCCTGCCCAAGGCTGGAGCTGTGCTGTTCTAACCCCTTGTGAGCATGAGGGCAACATCACAGAACAGGCCAACAACTTTGCCTGGTGATTCCTCTGTCAGAGGTTTTAAAAAAGCCTGGTCAGGCTTTCTTTCCTTCCCCTCCCACAGGGCCATCCAGCAGTACCAACATCTGGGAGACACCAGTGGAGCAGAAGGCGGGTTTTCCAGAGTGTCCATGCTGGGTGCTGAGCTTGCCAGCTGTGTGTGGCTCATCTCCGGAGGGGTCAGTGTGCACAACCAGTGCTCAGATCAGTGTGTGCTGCCCTGCCTGAGCACGCACCCACCACACCTCCCGGGGAGGCACAGGGCTGCCTGTGAAGCAGGACTGACAGCCCCAGGCTGCTGCCTGCTGCTCTTTGCTGGCTGGAAGGTCAGCACTGCCAGTGTGCATTACACAGGGCTGCCTAACAGCCCAGAGCAACGCTGACACTGAGTGATTTCTAAAGTTTATTGTACTGAATTACGTATGACTGATGTTTTGTGGGATTACGTAAGTGAAAACACAGGAACGGATCTCCTGTAGAGGTGTCTGGGTTTATAAATAGATTTATTGTTCCTCTTTGAAGTTCAGAACATACAGTTTCTCACACGGTACAGCCTCGGGCTTAAGAAGCTATCCTTGCTGGGCCAAGAGACCGCATTGCAGTTAATTATTTGTTAACAGGTTTAAAAGCCATGCTTCAGATGATTGACTATTTCAAATTAACAGCAAAGGTAGTTGTGCCAAGCGTTGCTGTTCTGACTGCACCTTCCCAAAGAGCCTCACTGGCTCTCACGGGCTGTACCAAAATCCCAGCACGAGCTTGGTCTAGGGAACAGAAACCTAATGCCCAGTGCTGCTCCCCAGGGTCTAGGGCAACTCCCCTCATAAAAACCCATGTTGTAAGATCCCACAGATGAAAGCTGAAGTCTGCGGTCCAAACCAAAACCCCAAAGTAAGCCGAGGGTATTAACTACTGTTACAAATTACTGAAGATGACGGAAGATTGTCTTCATATTTGAAGCACTAGATTTTCAAAACTGTCTTATTAGAAAGGCCACAGAACCAAAGTCCCCTTTCTCCCCTCAGCAGCACTGACATGTATCCATCAGCTGACTGTTCATATGTCCGTCTGTGAGATCAGGCACCTAATTCTACAAGAAATGCTGCCTCAGAGAAAGGCAGAAGACAGGCAGAGGGCTTCAAAGGCAGGTAGTGCACTAAGGAAAAATGGTGATGTCAACTGTCTCTCTAGACTTCAACTTTACACATACCATTAGGCTGTTTGGCCCTATGGACACAGTCATAGGACAGCAGATGTAATTCTGGTCATTTACTCTTTCCCACTTACATACATCTTCCCCAAAAACCTTTGCTGCAGGAAAATGCTCATTTTGAAAACTGCAGTTTGCACTGAGGTTGAAACAGAGCTCCCCTGAAAGGCCACCTGAGCTTGCTGGAGTGTTTCAAGCTGAAACCAAACACCATGGAAAAGCTTTACAGCTTTCTGAAGGCGCACTCACGCTTTAGGCACCTTTATAGAGCTTTATTCTACCAGAAAAACTATGAATTTTACCTTACTCTGGGCAGTGCCACAGTGGATTACAAAAAAAATATTCTGTGGGACCAATATTCAGGGCCTGACGACCCCAATCCTACTGTGCTCACTGAATACACGCTGAGGGTACTGTCAACCACATAGATCTGGACTACATGAACTCACTTCTTCTGGTAAGACAGAGGAAGGGAAGCCACTTGCCTCATCTTTAACTACCTGTCTTTGTCAGTAAGGCTAGAGAATCATCCCCTCCCCATGGACAATAGTATAGAGTGAATTTGCTATCCATGGAACCAGTTTAGTTGATGTCAAAATAGGTGCCAGTGAATCTCCTCTGCAT